CTACATTCTTTTTCAGCCTCACTCTCCCTGACACTCTCGACAAGCAATCATTGAGAAGCCTGTTGTTATAGAATACTGAAGTCTCTGACATCCATTACCTACACACGTAAAGAGTAAATTGACAGCATGAAATAGAACAATGTAGTCCTTGAACGCCTTGCAAGTCCAGTAAAAAAGGTTTAAATTTTGCCATTAGAAAAAATCTACACACATTGTAACAAACAACGAAGCATGAGGATAGAAAAAGATCTACATGATTCAAAGTCATTGCAGTTGAATAAACATCTTATTATTAAATTTTAATTAACGCAAATGTCCTTTTGACTCACAGTATAAGAGTAAAGCAATCCATGAAATCAGTGCCAACCCATTCTTTTTTTTTTTCAGAACATAAAACTGTTACATTCACACGGAAGGCTGATAACATCAAAAAGTTCTGTAACACAAATTACGATACAATATAGCCGGCAATATTCTTCTTTATTCCTGATACTCATCAATTTTTTAAAGACAGCAGAGTCGCATCTATGTTTATCAAAATCTTTAATTAAAATTTTTTTTAAAAATACAAAATAGAAATATTTATGCTTTTCAGTGATAATAAATACAATGCTATCTAACATAGTAAAAAGCTAAATAGATAGGCAAAATGTCTACCAACAGCATGCACCATAAATCTACCAAAGATATACAATACTATAATACTGCAACAGCTTCAGGTCCCACGTCTCTCCCTCTGTTTTCCCACATTTCCCCTCAGGACCTGGGTACCATCATCCATCAGCAACGGTGAACGAATCATAGTCCCTTAAAGTTAAAGACATGACCCAAATTTGTGTGATCAATCCTAGACGCTGAAACTGGAAGTTACTGTGATAATATCAAGTCCTAGCCTCCTCCCGGTAAACACTGTCACAAAAACTCCCCTGCCCACAAGTCGACTCCAATATAATGTCATCTTAGTTCCGAAAGGGACTTACATTGTTCCATCCCGTTATGCATACCCGATGACTATCAAGTTTCATGGAGCCATTAATAGCCAAAAGAACTAAGGAAAAAATTGATAAAGAACCCTTCCTAAAGAAACAGCATTCTATCACGCACAAAAATGAACCAAACTGACAACCGTTTGAACGCCACTCCGATGCCCACCTACCAGACCAGGATGGGATGCCTTGATGATACCGCAGTGCTTCCTTCAAACAGATACTTTCTCTTTAGCCTAGAAACACTGAAGTATCAACTCTAAGGAAACTCTGCAGACCACTTTGCATCCTAAAAAGCTGACTCAAAATTAAAAAAACAAAGGCCTCCACCTCCACTGCACGAATTCTACAACAATATCACAGCTAAAAAACATAGAATTATCAATTTATTAAAGTCCAATATCAATAAGCCATCCCACACAACCTGCTGAACACTGTAGTGTGGGTTGTTATGAGGTTGACTAAAAAGGAGCGGAAAGAGTCTTTAAGTTTAAGTAAAGTGGGATTCATAATTTTTCTCATACACTCTGTAAGATCTCTGCTAAATACATTGCCCTGGGAAACAAGGCAGTGTCCACATCCAAACTCCACATATCGAAATGACAGATTCTGGGATTTCAAAAGAAACAAACGCAACGACCAAACAGAAATCAAACACGACACACACAGTATCCTCTACAGCAGACATAATCAAACTTGAGCTCAGCTCCATCAAAATATTACATTACAGTGGAATGAGGAATGCAAAAGCAAACATCTCCATTTGTTCTGACGCACATATCATAAGATCACATCCACACACATCACCGGCATTTAGTAAAGAAAACAACAGATTTCTCTTACACAACTGCTCATCCTGCATGATACACACGTAAGCAACACGGGACTTGGAACATGATATCAGTGAAATTAATTTTTTTTTAAACCAAACAGGTAACAACTACTGCTTCTCAACTCTGTGAGAGGCAACAACCTCTGGCAGAGAACAAACAAATTTTTCCCTACTCACACGAGAACACTGAGCTCATGAAGAACATTTTGTTCACATTTTACAACTTTACAGAAATTTATCAAAACATTCCTATCTCAGTATTCAACATTTAAAAATCCCAACAAACATATTAAAACTTTGGCGTTTAGTCACTTGAGAAGTAGAGTGACTGAGTGGCAAACCACATCAATGGAAAAACAGGAAAATAAAAAAATGTGTATTTGCCAGGGTTTCAAACACAATAATGAGTTACATATAAAATAAACAACAGCAATAGTACCCAAATGTCAAATGAGCATCAATCCATAACAACTGCTAAGAATTATGAGCACATTTCTTTCAGCTCAGGTTCACAAATACAAAATCCTTTGCCACATCAATAATGCCTGTACGGTTCATAAAAATAGTACAAATGCGGACACCTTGGCTGACACATTAGGCCTACTAATAAAAAATGAATATATGGGAAAGAACATAAGATTGCCTAACCGCTCACATGTTTTCATTCATGGAGAATTGACTTCAATCCTCTCCTCATACAAATAAAACGGTTGAGACTTCCCTACCCTCGTACATCAGGTGTTGGTTTCTCTATGGCAGGGTTGTTGGTTTTTTTTTACCAATGTCATAGATTATTATTCATTGGGATGTAAAGTTATTAGTTTGTTTCGAACCTATTTCATTCTCTCTGACCCCCCCCCCCCCCCCTTCCTCCTCACCAATTTAGATATTTAGGAGGAGGGTTACTCTTTATAACGGTAATCTTGAGGTATTAGGAATATATTCCAGGAGAAAGACGAAGCTTTTGCCTCAAACATACTCAAAGGCTTCTCAAATACTTCACATATTTTAACCTTTTTTCTTTGACTTAAATAAAATTGAATACTTAGAAATTACTATATCTGAACTCCAGTTATGGATTTCATCATTATTCTCACTCTACAACACCATCATTTCGGTCAGTTCTCTTCTAGCTGCATGATTATCTTTGACATATATACAATGACAGAATGACAATACTTCATGGCACTATTCAAGAGTCTCACTGGATCAACACACAATAACAATATAGTACGCAGACATAGGTAAACTTTGATGAACTCTCTGGTTCTATTAATGATTTGCTGGTGAGCAGAACACATGCATAGCTGGTGCACAAAAATGCTACGAGTATTCTTACGTATGTTTTGCATGGAAAAAAAAATGCCAACGTAATACACTTCTCTGTCAAAATATATGGAAGGTTGGGCCAAAGACCATAACCATTAAAATTTAGCAAAGCTCACCTGATGGCACACACCATGCAAGAGTCACAATTTCACAACGCTTGACTTTGACTGAACCTTTCAACTACAAATTCCACACATTAAGGAAACTGCCCAAATGGCACAAAATCCCATGTTTTAATACACCATCTCCTCCCATCCCCCTTCTATCCCAGATATTGTCACCCACAAAGACTGAAAAGACAACATTTTGCAGGCACAGCATAGGCTGCATCACAAAGACACATCCAAATAAATTTATGAGTGGGGGGGGGGGAACAAAAGCAAAAGGGAAAGAAAACAGAATTACTAGACGTTTCACCATGGCAATGTTCAGCTTTCGAGAATAAGGACAGATTTTCATTTTCACTCAGCCACAAAATTATGTAAAACGCAAACTATTGTTTTCACCCTAACCACAAAGCATGAACTGCAAATCCATCACAAGAAATTATCATTTGCTAAACGGAAGGCCGAAGACCAAAATAAATTGTAAGCAATGGGTTAATTGTACAAAAAAGTGGGAAAACTGATCGAGTCACGATGTGATTAACACTACATTCACAAAAAACTGTCAAGAGTTCAAAAGATTTTTCCAAAAGAATGAAAAGTTTTACATAATGTCTTTCTTAACTCTTTATCTCCGAGGGGGGTAAACCCACTACGGCGCGGCCCATCTTTGGTGATAAATCTAAAAATGACAAAAACGTCATTAAATGGGTCATTAAATCGAAACTACCAAACCTATTTTGATAGTTCTTCATCTAAAGAATGAACTTCCGGTATAAGAGACCTGTTTTCGGCCATTACCGAAAAATGATTTGGTGTCAAAGTCGTCGTAAAGGAATGTGCCCAACACAGCGGCTCACCAGCACAAGGGTTCGAACCGCAAGCCGCTGGGAGCAGCTTGCCGGAAATAAAGAGTTAAACAATAAAAGCTTTTTTCAAATCTGAGCCAAGATGTGTAGAGCCCACTGTTGTATCAGTTGTCTCCAAAGGTACAGTACACATTTTTGTTTCTACGGATTAAAAATGTTCAAGGCTTTTCAGAAATCTGCTTGTCTCTATGAAAATCTAAATTCAAGTGCTCTTTTCAATGAAAGGCTTTAAATGTCAAACAAGGTAAAGGTCCTATCAACATTATTTCTGATACGGAGTCGGAAACAGTTGTCATGTAAAAAGGCAAATGAAATCACCAATTAACAGATATATTGACACAAGAAATAAATAAATGAAGTGTTCTTTAAGTCTCATCAGATAAAATATAAAGTGTTTTACAAGTTTTATCACAGTATACCATGCACAAGCCCAGATTTACTGTGGTGCACACACTGCTCTGTAACTCGCGACCCCAGTGCTTTCTGGTCCTAACTCCATTTTTAATAACAGTGAAAACAGTTCATAACAAAGAGTGAGCTTGAGAAGATGTCACATTTTGACTGGTTTAAAAAAAATGGAAATGCGACAACAAGAAAGCACTGAGGTCGCGAACTGTTTAATAACAAGAGCGGAAAAAATGTTCTGTCGAAGAAAAGAACTGGATGACATCAAACAGTGTTAACCTTTTGGGTGCTGGTCATGAACACTGGTCGCAACAGCCCGAACTTCCATCAAGCGCTGATCGCGATCGTCGAAGTATACAAAGAGTGTGTGTGTGTGTGTGTGTGCACCTGTGTGTGTGTGTATGTGTCTGTGTGTGAGTGTGTGAGTGTGTGTGTGTGTGTGTGTGTGTGTGTGTGTGTGTGTGTGTGTGCTTGCAATTTTTTTGTGGGAAAGGTAGAGACAAACAGACAGAGAGAAAGGAAAGGGAGAGGGAGAGAGACAGAGAGAAATGATCACTATTAAAACCGTATGGTGCTTGTATTCTTTGTATTATTGTAAAGACCATTGAGCCCTTTCTTAGTGGAAATACGCAATATGAGATAATAATAAATTTCGTGTAAATGTGTTTCATGCCATCCTCAAAACTGTTGCTTATCTACAAATCTACAAAGGACAACATAACTTAAAGCTGTAGTGACCCATCTTATATTTCCCCATCGTTGAACGTCCAGAGCAGACAAAACAAAACTAACAGGGGCATTAGTGACTATGAATTATGACAATAGACACCTTTCTCACATGGTGTGTAGACAAAATGACCACGTCATAGGCCAAGAACCAGACAATATTTGACAGCCAACAAAACTCCATGGAGAACTAATCTGGAAAAACCTCTGTAAAAAAAACACTTGGACTCTACAAGCACTCGGCTACAACATACATGTAACAACATCCCCAACTCCCAGCAAAGCTTCCCTCAAATAGCAACGGTGCAATAGATAAGTTGTCAGGTCTACCCAAGGAATGCTATACTGAAATCTCTCAGCTTCAACACGTGCAAAGTCTGGTTTGAAGAGGGGATCTTATACTGAGGGTGTGCTGCAATTCTCTACATAAATTTTGGGTTAAAGTAAAGTATAACCTCCCCCACGTTCGTGCACATTGTGACAATCACAGCCTGCTGTTTCCTGTTCCAGCAAGACATAAGAACAACCCAAACGTGACACCCCCCCCACCCCACCCCCATGATGACCCAAAACAGTGCACACAAGGTCAAGCAGTAACAAAAGGGAAGTCTACACTCCACTTTTGTTTGTTTTAGTAGAGGTTTTACAGCGCTCGCAGCTGCATAAGGTCATATGAGCCCTATCACTTCACTTTTACCAAAATGTTGCAGTCAAGCAGTGTCACAGCACTCCAGCCAACCCGATGCCCTTTGAGAAAATCCTCGAACACGTGCACTGAAAATGTTGTCCCTCAGGTGAGAGTCCTCTGAATGACGTTGAACGGGGCCACGGGGCAGGTGGCCTCCAGCATGTTGCCCGTCATGTGACAGTTGCTGGCATCCTCGGGTTGACCTAGAGACTCCAGCACTGTGCCCAGCATGAACCTGAAAGGTTTTAAAAAATTTTAGTAGGAGTTTTACTGGGGTTTTTTAGTAGAGGTTTTATGGCGCTCGCAATTGTTTAAGCTCATATGAGCGCCAGAAGATTAAAGGTGTTACAAGAGAGTAACAAATATAAAAAAGAAGAAGGGGAGATAAGGACGATAGATGTTTGATAGGAAAGAAGGGGAGATAAGGACGATAGATGTTTGATAGGAAAGAAGGGGAGATAAGGACGATAGATGTTTGATAGGAAAGAAGAAGCAAACCACACCAAAGCACCAACCAACCACCCATGAGAGAGTGGGGAGGGGGGGGGGGAACAGATCGGGGATTAGTAATATATATGATCAAAAGGATCGACTGGGGATAGGGGGTTCGAAAAATATATGAACTGGGGACAGGAGGTTAGAATCATAGAGATGATAAAAAGGAATAGACTGGGGAAGGACTGTACCGGGAATGGGGGGGTTGGAATCATGTATGATCAAGAGAAACTAACCGGGGATGAGGGTTGGAATCATATATGAACAAGAGGAATGGACCGGGAGTGGAGGGGTTGGAATCAATCATCACCAAGAGAATTAGGAGTTCTTTTCTTAGGTCTATCACTAACTGTAATGTCTGTATGAATGGGGTCAAGAGAACTGAATCAGAGTGGGTGTTTTATTTAGTAGAATTACTCCTAAAAAAAAAACCATTGAGACACCTAGATGTTACAAGTTGGTAACTATTTCTAAAGAGCACTATATCAAGTGTAAAGAAAGTAGAAGCAAAGATAGTACTATGTACTAAAAGAACTTTTAGTTAACTAACGAAACAAAACATTTTTATCACAGCCAGAAACAACATTTATAAATTTGTGTTTGAATTTTCGAGGACACCTTTTTAGAGAGTGAACCATCTTGTAATGCATTTTCTTATGTACTACCACGCCACGGAAAACTCCCACATCTAAGAGGGCCACCTTCATTTTGGCAAGTCAGGAAAAGATCGCATTTCCTAATACAGTCAGGAGATAGTGATCGTTTTGTAACTCACCACAAAACTTTCAACTTGATTTGAATGCTTCCAGATTTAAAATTACCCCTCAGAAATTTTTCTTTCCATTTTTTCCAAAATTGATAAAACAAACAAAAAATCCAACACAATTTCCCAAACAGTTCTGTCCCTAAATACAGAAATCCCCACTATCTTCACAAGGTTTCGACGTACAGTTTTCATTTCACATGTGGCTAAGACAGATGTATTGGCTGTAACTCACCATGCTTTATGGAAGCAAGGGTCAAGATTGACAGCGTCGCGCAAGATCTTCTCAGCAAGTCGATTGTCGTTCATTTTGTGAAGAACAATACCCTGAAGATATATCAGTTGTTTAATAATAATAATAATAAATGACATTTATATAGCGCTCAACCCCGAATAATGTTTCCATCAACCATGACCGAGCAAACAGAATTACCACAATTTTTTAATAAAAAGAATGTTAAAAACCAAATGTTTCTTATGTTGTGAAAATTAACTTATCATTTAACTCTGAATTTACAATAGAGAAAAATTGAAAAACTGATGCTCTTCTAGCATAAATGAACAGTAAGGCCTGACGTATATTACTTTGAAAGCACTCACTAAATAAGGCAAGCTTTTACTACATTGCAACCTTTTACCAAAACATAATGAATTATTTGCTACACCAGAAATACAAGTAAGCAAAAAAACAGTACAAGCCTGAAAAATGTTTTTCAAAATTCTGATTCACACCACCTTTAACATTCCAGATAATACGAGCAAAGCACCAACACTGACTGATTTCCTATATAAAACATTCATCTAACTGACCGAACAGACTGAAAGGCCTTCCTTGATGCAGAATACTGGTAACTTAACTCACCAAGTGATACAGTGACTTGGTATGAGCAGGGTTAACAGAAATGGCATTTTCATAGCAGACTCTGGCATCGTTGAGACAACCTCGGTGCTCCAGAACAAGTCCTCTCTGCACATTGCAACAAATTGAAGAAATGGATGCTTAGAAAAGGCCACATCACAAGGCAGGCATGGTTATAACAATTCAAAATGTGCAATTTAAGAACAAGCCCTCTCAAAACAAATCAAATAGCATGGAAAAAATTTCTTATTTCAGCATTACTCTGTAAACTAAAGGTCTATTCTCGTGCTTGCTTGGATAACTATAACAACCCGGAAAAGCTTCAAAATAAAAAAAATGTCCGTACACTAGAGTAACGCATTCTTAATAATAAACAAATATCAAGGATATCTTGTCGGTTTGTTAGTGTTTGAGCGCTTAATCAGTTGCTTGCATTGTATGCTTCCCGGGAAGCTGAGAATGTTTCGGAGTGTTCTATGGTCTGCTGGGGTAATAATATAGTGTAAAGCGCATAGAGCTTGCTGTTGAGCAGGGATATGCGCTATACAAAAGCTATTTATTATTATTATTATAATTCAATTGCTTAAACCACAAGCGAAATGGCTCCCAGATTCCTGCCATGTCGATATTATTGACCAACATTTCAAAGATTGGTTGAACGTAAGTGAGCATCATGAGTCAGGATGAGTCAAAATCATTCATATCTTTACATTCTTTATTATGCTACTTTAACTACTTAAAAATCATATATCACACGTACTTGTAACTGAATTTGTCTTGAAAAATAATTACCTAACACAATTACACAAGCCTAGTCTTCATTATTGGTATGGTCATGTAACAAGAACGTGTGGCCTATCCAAGACCATTATTCAGGGAACTGTATAGGGGAGGAGAAAGAGAGGAAGGCAAAGAAAGAGGTGGACCGAAAACATTGCGGAATGGACAGGGAAATCCTTCGCCTAAACTCTGGCGCTCGCAAAAAAAACCCAGGAAAAGTGGAGACATCCGACCAAGCTCTCTATCACACAGCGCCCGTACGATCCTCGTGGGTTATGGGATCAGTAAGCAGTAAGTCTTTATTTAATTTTATTCACACCTGAATTTCTATTTTGAACACATTTTTCTTCTGAAACCAGGCGAAACAAATTTTTCATCTTACAAATAAGCGAACACTTATGAGAGGTAAATCCTTTACATTTCCATTTTAAACAAAGCTGGTACATACCATAAAGAAAACATAGACAGAGTGTGGAAACAACTGGAATGTCTCTTGCACACAGCTCTGGGCTTCATTCACTTGATTCAGACTGAGGTATAGCTCCGCTGTGGATGCACAAACCAAAAGCTACTGACTGCATAGACTTTTTGCCACTGAAACTTTTTTATTTCTTTCTATTTACCACAGAAACGAGAACACTGGGTTCATGCTGTTGATGTGTTGCTATCGTTGATCAAGCACTGCAAGGATTTTCACCTTATGAATCAATACTAAACAAAAATGTACACAAATCTATCTCCAGAGAGACTATAGCAACATAATGGAAACAAAAATTTTACTTTGGTTCAATAACACTGTATATACAAATTTTGTGCTTTGTATTTGATTGACATCCTTCTCAGATCAACAACTGAGGCATATTTCACTGCACAGTGATGGCATTGAAATTATTTTTAGTCAAAAGACTGGAAGCACAAAGTTCACAAACAGAACCTCAAATAACCAAAACGGATGAACGCTACGTCTTCCAGTACAGATACAATATATTTCAATATTCATTTCTATTTTAATTCTAACTTGACAACATTAAGCTCATTCAATGTATGAAAGTACAAACAGGATAAAAAAGTTCCACAACTTTAACAGTTACAGCAGGATAGTTTATCCTTTATCCTGAAAAGATTTTGAAAGGAAGAAAACATCAAAACAGAGCTGTCCCTTGACCTGCAGTTACCTCATTTTAAAAAAAAAAAGAGGTACAGACATTTTCAGAAATTTTAGAACACATATTTTAATCAAACATTTACACAGAAGATTCGTACTTACCCAGGTTAAGCCAGATCTGTGCCTGTATGACCCACGACCTCTGAGGCCCGGCCCGGGGCTGGAAGCTGCTGTTCATGGAGGAGGCCAGGTCAGACAGAGCTTTCTCCACACGTGAGGCTGCCACAGACTCGGCCCGGATAGACCCTGCTCACACAGACAAACACAGTCAGAGAACATGCAGACAACAGTAGGTGAACACACAGACTACACAGTTTTTTAGTTTTAGTAGAGGTTTTACGGCGCTCGCAACTGCATAAGGTCATATGAGTGCTAGAAGATTAGAGGTGTTACAAGAGAGTGAAAAACATAAAAAAGAAGAAGGGGAGAAAAGGACGATAGATGTTCGATAGTAAAAAAGTAGCAAACCACACCAGAGCACCTGCCAACCTCCAACAAAAAAAACCACAGTAAGAGAACATGCAGACAACAGTTGGTGAACACACTGACAACACAGTCAGTGAACACACAGACAACACAGTCAGTGAACACATAGACAACACAGTCACACAGACATTACAGTTACTGATCGCACCCAAGAACAGAAGAACTCTGATATTACTATCTCTAATATTACCAAAATATTATGCCCTAGGCTATTGTACTATTTTTCTTGCCCAGGATTTTTGGTTTTTGTAAAAGTCTCACAGCACTTGCAACACAATAAGGTCATGTAAGTGCCAAAGATTAAAGGTGTTGCAAGAGAGTAACAAACCCAAAAAAAGAAGGAGGGGAGATAAAGACGATAGACGTTTGACAGGGAAAGAAGAAGCAAACCACATCAGAGCACCCACCAACCACCTACCTTGTGATTTTTAACAACCTAACAAAGTACAAAACGATTAATTGGGATGCATTCTCACTATGGTATGATAAGCTAGCACATTTGCTATATACTATAAAGCATTGAAATAATTTTATATAAAATTGATTTGCAACAACAGAAAACAGTTATTTTTAAAAGTATTAAATAAACTTCCAAATACCCCTTGCTGTCAGGAACTATTTTCAGTAAATTATTGGAACTTGAGTTTGAGTAAAAAAGAAGCATATGAACACAATAGCAGTCATTTTGTGCAAGGAAAAACTAAAAAAACAAAAACAACAGACAGAAAGAAAAGAAGCAGTGCAACCTCCAATCATCCATACAAAAACAAACCAAACTAGTTCATAAGAACCAAATTCAACAGGTAAACTCCAGATCATACCAGAGCCCCTTTCGCTGAATTCATGCAGAGTCATCTGTGCCAAGCTCCTTTTATCCCATGTACATCTGTCTCTGGCCCGGGACTTGCTGTCGGAGCAGCTGAAAACATTTGGAGAAGTTTTTATGAATAATGAGACCCACATCAACACAATAACTGTCATTTTTGGGGTTTAGTAAGAGTTTTACGGCACTTGCAACACAATAAGTTTTGTGAAACATCAGATTATAAACTTATCTTGACCTTCCCACAATATTGAGTTTCTGTGCAATATGACAGAGCAAAAATTTAACTTATGCCTGAGAAAGTTTTTCCTTTTTTGGAAGGAATCCTCAGAAGAAATCTGAGATTCAGAAAGAAGCTGTACTATATGCATTCCTGTACTAAAGAAAGTGGAGAAAAGGTTTGTTACAAACAGACAGAGAGGAACACATCTCAGAGATCAGTTGCAGCTTCCGACCAAGGGGCAGGCCTAAAGTCACACTTTGCCAGGAGCACAATACAACTAGTTACGCTTTTAGGATGGAAAGGAAAAGCTGGAGAATGTCAAATGAAGCAAGGGAGTGAAGGAGAGTATTAGAAATCTTAAGACAGGAAATTTAAAACAAGAATCAAAGGAAATAATAATAATAAATAATAATAATAATTGCATTTATATAGCGTATATCCATGCTCAAGAGCATGCTCTATGCGCTTTTTAACTATTATTACCCCAGCAGACCCTCTGAGAACACTAAGAAACATTCTCAGCTTCCGTGGAAGCATACAGTGCAAGCTGCGGATTTCACGTGCTCAAACACAATCAAACTGACAAGATCTTTCACTGTCTATAGCCGGGTACCCATTTCCACCTGGGTGAAGTGAGGAAAATTTGTGCAAAGTGCCTTTCCCAAGGACACAACGTCGGGCCCCTGACGGGATTCGAACCCACGACCTTACGATTGCAAGTCCGAGAGCCTAACCACTAGGCCACCGACGCCGACTCGACACGTTGTACCTGTTTTTCACCTGTTTGTGTTCTGCAACAATTTAAATCATTTAAATGACCAGCCACTCTACAGAAAGACAGAGATACTCAATAGAATGAACAAAACAAGACTTCTCAATGAAGTTTTCAAACACACTTTTCATGCATGCAATATTGAACCGTCAACCCTCTAGTCAAAAGGAAAGGTAGTTGGTCTTTTCAGTTACAGGTGACAGAAATTCACCATGATTATTGCCTAATTTCACAACCAACAGAAAAAGACGATACACTTGAATCTGCGCTTCGGAAACAGAAAAGAAAAAAAGGTTCAGTCCTGTTGTTTCTGTCTCCTACTCTGGCTAAACACAGCACGGTCACCAACATCTTTTTTTTAATATCTGACCCGTCCTCAAGCCTCCCTTCCCCCTCCCCCCAAAATTTTTACAAGCGCTAAAAACTATATAATAATAGATAATAGATAGCAATTGTATAGCGCAAATCCCTGCTCAACAGCAAGCTCTATGCGCTTCACAATCCATACTATTACCCCAGCAGACCTGAGAGCATTCTGAAACAAACTCAACTTCCTGGGAAGCATACAGCGCAAGCAGCCATTTATAGGCACTAAAACACTAACATACTGACAAGATCTTTCGCTGTCTATATAAGTGACTCACTCGTCAGCAACGTCCATCTCATGGAGATCCTTCCACAGCTTCAGCATTTTCTGGTAGGTGGCTAGAGCCTCCTCAGGACCTAGCACTATCTTCTGCAGCTTCGCTTTGGTCATCAGTAAACTAGCAGCAGAGACAAGGCAAAAATATATTTAAAAGGAAAATGAATTACTAAAAGATTGAAAAGAAAGAATAAATTAGGGTGAACAAGAAGGGAAATCAGTGAATAAAGAGAACAAACAAAAATTGAATTAAAATAATTTTTTTTGATTGACTAGCAAGGAAATGTTCAAAAAAATATGAGACATAATTCAAACAATGCAGACCAACTTTATTTCCTTATTCTCTTACTCATAATTTCATTAATACTAAAAACCACTTCAGTTCAAAGCATTAAATAAAAAAGTTTTAAAAAACTAGCCTCAGGAGACATGCAGTCAAACCTGGTTATACCGTTTCTCCCTTGCCCCACAGACCCCCAAGTTTTTGCCAATGTACAAAAAGGAATGCCTTTGAGCATATGGTTTGCCCCTTTAAACTGATGTCCGCCAACTGTCTGAGCTGTGTAGTCCTTATAAAACGTAAAATGTAAATTCATCTCGCAACACCATCAGTTAACTCAAACTGGCCGCAAGAGGTACGCACTACACATGGCACCCGCTCAGCAGCTGAACAGAGACAATCTCCTTTGCTCCTACCCATGACTCTGTGAACTTGCTTTTGTCGTCAGTTTGCTCCTTTATCGCCCATCCCACATCTCTCAACCCTTGTCTTGTAGGTTCAAGCAGCATTTATGCGTCGAAAAGCAGTCTCTGATCCAGCAGTACTTTGATCTCTCGCTCTCTCTTTCTCTCCGTCTCTCTCTCTCTCTCTCTCTCTCTCTCTCTCTCTCTCTCTCTCTCTCACTCTCTCGCTGTGTCTCTGTCTGTGTCTGTCTCTGTCTTTGTCTCTGTCTGTC